TTTGCACAAGAGATAAAAATTAATCACCTGTATCACATTACAGTCATGATTTAAGAGTTCTAGTGTGTATATATATATATATATATATATATATATATATATATATATATATACCTAATACCTGACCATTGTGGACCTGGTCTCACCCTCCTCTGTATATATACACCTTGATTTGTATTACTCTCTCTAGTCTGTACTCACCCTGAAGATGTGAATTACACGAAAGCGCTTGGGAACTTTGTTTTTTCTTTTCCTTGTGGTTATCAGCATATACCTAGATCAGCGCACCCACAGTGATTTACTATATATATATATATATATATATATATATATATATATATATATATATATATATATATATATATATATATATATATATATATATATATATATATATATATATATATATATATATATATATATATATATATATATATATATATATATATATATATATATATATATATATATATATATATATACACACAGTCAACCTTCACTTTACGCGGTCCCACATTCCGCGTTTCCACGTTTACGCGGTGCCCTGCCAGAACCCAGGATGCTCACATTCCGCGGTGGGTGTACCCCTTTACACGGTGAAGTATAATTTTTTTTAATTTAGCTCATAAAATTCATACAAATTATCCGGCCAGAATATAATTTACATTGCTGGAATTCTTACAATTTGATGATCATTTTGAATATAAACATCATAGATTTTGCATTAGACATACAAATTTTAGATATAATGTTTACTCTTGAGTAAATATGTTATCTTTTGTGCAAAATATATGATATTTATATTCAAAATATTCCTGGTCTTACAAGGAATCCAGCAATGTCAATTATATTATCCTAACTTTAGTCTGATGAATTATTAATTACTAAAAAGGTAAACAGTCTGGTATTCCCACACATTTATCAAGTAGGGACGTTGGTGGGGGGTGGGGGGGAAGGAGGGAGGGACCGGCGACCGACCATCTGTTACCGTGTGAAGAATATTTTTTTTTTATTAACTGAAGATTTTTTTTTTAGCTCATAAAATTCATACAAATTACCCGGCCAGAATATAATTTACATTGCTGGAATTCTTACAATTTGATGATCATTTTGAATATAAACATCATATATTTTGCATTAGACATAAAATTTTTAGATAAAATGTTCACTGAGTAAGTATGTTATCTTTTGTGCAAAATATATGACGTTTATATTCAAAATATTCCTGGTCTTACAAGGAATCCAGCAATGTCAATTATATTATCCTAACTTTAATCTGAGGTATTATTTAATACAAAATGTTAAAATTTATTTTTTTCACCCAACATCTCTTGAAGGGAGGATTGGTGGGGGGTGGGGGGGAGGGTTGGGACTGACCGCGCGGTTGGAAGAGGGGGGAGGCAAGGTGGGGTACTTTGATTGACAGATAGTGTCGTGAAGAATATTTTTTATTTTATTAACTGAAGATATTTGTTTTAGCTCATAAAATTCATACAAATTACCCGGCCAGAATATAATTTACATTGCTGGAATTCTTACAATTTGGTGATCATTTTGAATATAAACATCATATATTTTGCATTAGACATACAAATTTTAGATAAAATGTTTAATCTGAGTAAATATGTTATCTTTTGTGAAAAATATATGAAATTTATATTCAAAATATTCCTGATCTTACAAGGAATCCAGCAATGTCAATTATATTATCCTAACTTTAGTTTGAGGTATTATTTATTACTAAACCTGGTTTTCCCCCAAAAATTTCTCAGAGGGAAGAGCTAGCAGTATAGTGTGAGAAGAGGGGGAGGGAGTCGTGTCCATTATTTGAATGGACATTAACTTGGCGACTGTATTTCTCTATTTCTCTTAAGTATTAATTGTGTGCATGTACCATCATAAAATTAAGATGTTATTTTTACTAGAACATAGGTATTGTGTTGGAAAAAGTGGAGTTTGGGTTTCACCTGGTCTCTATTTCATTTAATCCCATATGTTATGTTATTCACTTTACGCGTTTCTCTCTTTCGGCGGTACCCTGTGGGTTACATTAACCGCGTAAAGTGAGGGTTGACTGTACAGTATATATATACAGTAACCCCCCGCTTTACGCGGTCCCACTTTATGCGTTTCCACTTTTACGCGGTACCCTGCCGAAACCGGAATGCTCACTTTTCGCGGTGTGTGTACCCTTTTACGCGGAGAGCGGCGCGAGCAGGGTGCGCACAAGGTCACCCCGTCATCAAAACATTACCGAGTTCTTCACCCGCCACCCACCACAGCCGGACCAAGTCAGTGATAGTGATAATGATAGTGAGGATATGGACTTATATGGACTTTGAGGGGTTTGACAAAGAGGCCCTGCAAGCCTCTGTGGTGGATAGTGATACAATTGATACAAGTAATACAGGTGAGGGCCAATAATCTGCCTTCTGCCTCGGAACCAACCCCCCATCCCCGTGTGCCCAGCCATCTTTTCTACTTATGTAAGTGTTAAAAAACCTAATATTATTGATATTTCTCTTAAATATTAATTGTGTGTGCATACCATCATAAAATTCAGAAGTTATTTTTACTACAACGTAGGTATTGTGTCTGAAAAAGTGGAGTTTGGGGGTCGGCCTGGTCTCTATTTCAATTAATCCCATATGTTATGTTGTTCACTTTACGCGTTTCTCACTTTACGCGGGCCGCCGTGGGTTCAATTGACCGCATAAAGTGAAATTTTTTTTGCATATGCAACGCTGTTCTGTATAGAAATGGTCTCCAGGTTGTTTTGTTCATTATTGTACTGTACAGTGATCCCTCGGTTAACGAATGCCTCGGTTAACGAAATTTCGGTTAACGAATTACCTTCCATAAGATTCTTCACTTCGGTTAACGAAAAAATTTTGGTTAACGAATTCCTTACAAATTTTTCTCAACATGTTTTCGCCTGCTCACCAGCTGTAGTATTAGTCTGCCAATACAGTAATCGGTTTTAGGGCTTAAATTTATTACCATTTGAGTAAATATCAAGAAAGTTGTACTATTCAATAATTTTCCTAGTCATATTAAAGTTTTTAGTAATTTTAACAATTATTTAACATAATTGAAGTACAGTGGGGTATGCTATAACGAATCTAATTGTTTCTAGAACCTTGTTCGTTATAGCATTCGTTTGTTATAGGATTAATCCGTTCCAGGCCCCCAAATACAACCACTTAACACTGAAAAATATAATATAAAATTGTAAAAATTGTAAAAAAGTGCATAAATATGCATCTAAACCCCTGAAATAACCAATATCATTAATATTTGTAATAAAAAAAAAATAAATTAGTAAAAAAAAAAAAAAAAATTTAAATAATGTTCGTTGTAGGAGTTTCGTTCGTTATAGCATTCTCAATTTTATAGGTAAAACCGTTCGTTATAGGAATATTCGTAGTAGGATCCGTTCGTTATAGCATGCCCCACTGTACAGGGAACTAGTTTTTAGCGTGCCAAACAGCCACTCAACACACCCAAAATGGCGTCAGTGTGTGTCTCTCATCAGTGGAGGAAGCTTCTTGCTTGAGACTCTTTTGCACATAACTATTTTTGTTACAATTATTGGTCATTCTGAAGTTTATTTTACATATTGACAATATATAATACAGTGCAGTGTTGATTTAAAGAAAATAATCTTGAATTACACTAAGTGAACTAAAATTTTATGGGTGAAATGGCGGCATGGGGTGACTTCTCTTCCACCCCAATGCCTTCTCTTCTCCCTTCTCCTCCACCCCCATTCTAATTCCCATCATCATCAACCAGGAGCCTTCTACATGCACACCTCAAAGTAAGTGTACTTTACTGCATTTATTTTTAGTTTGTATGTAATTTTCGGTGAGCTGGAACCAATTACCCAAAATCCCATTGAAACAATGGTTTCGGTTAACGAACGACCTTCTGGAACGAATTGTGTGCTTTAACCGAGGGACCACTGTATTTATTGTATGCGTTTTTTAGACATGATATTCACATTAGTTACAGTACATATCTAAATATTTTTTAGTAGATTTGTGTTAGGTAAAGTACTGTACAATACAGTACAGTACTACTGTATTATATTGTGTACTTTAATTTTTGTTCAATGCAAATGTGCTAATGGGAATATTAACATGTTAGAATTTTGGATTAACAAGTTCCTACTGTACTGGGTTTATATTTTTTCAATTAATTTACAGTAATAACCCGCTTTACGCGGCTCTCGTTTACGCTTTTTTACATTTACGCGGTACCCCGCCAGAACCGGAATTTCCACTTTACGCGGTGCATCTACTCATTTACGGGGGAAGCTGCGCGGGCAGGGTGCGCACAAGGTCGCCCAGTCTTGAAAACATTACCGAGTTCTTCACCCACCACAGCCGGCCCAAGTCAGTGATAGTGATAATTATTGTAAGGATATGGACTTATATGGACTTTGAGGGGTTTGACAAAGAGGCCCTGCAAGCCTCTGTGGTGGATAGTGATACAATTGATACAAGTGATACAGGTGAGGGCCAATAATCTGCCTTCTGCCTCGGAACCAACCCTCCATCCCCGTGTGCCCAGCCATCTTTTCTACTAATGTAAGTGTTAAAAAACCTAATATTATTGATATTTCTTTTAATTATTAATTGTGTGTGCATACCATCATAAAATTAAGATGCTATTTTTACTACAACGTAGGTATTGTGTCTGAAAAAGTGGAGTTTGGGGGTCGGCCCGGTCTCTATTTCAATTAATCCCATATGTTCTGTTGTTCCATTTACTCGTTTCCCGCTTTACGCTGGCCTCCGTGGGTTCAATTGACCGCGTAAAGCGGGGTATTACTGTACTTTAATTTTTGCTAGTTACCAAGGGGCAGTCAAGCTCGTAATTGCTCAAACAGAATGGCTTAAGGATTCCAAGGGAAAAAAAGGCACAGACATAGTTAATATCAGTGATAAATTGTTTTAACATAATGAATTTATTAATGTTGCTTAACTTGCTTTCAGCACTTGCAAGCTGTCCACACCTCGGCAGGTGTTCAAGTCCAAGAAAATGAAGGCCCACAGGCTAAGTTCTTCCCAGCAATGAAGACACCCATGTTACCCAAGGATGCATTTAAGGACAAAACAGTGATTATCACAGGAGGTGGCACTGGTTTGGGTAAAGGAATGGCTACCATGCTAAGTGCTCTTGGTGCAAATGTTGTCATTGCTGCAAGGTATGTAAATATATCTTACAGTATTTGCTTTTAAGAAGAAAGAAAATGGTTCTCATGAATTCCATATAAAAAATATTCTTCACAGACTTTTGAGTTCTGATTAGTTTCTAAAAAACAGTAAGTTTGATGACTTACAGGTACATGCATCAATTTTGCAGTTAAAGAATCATTAATAGCAATTTACCTTTGGTAAGTAGTGTTAGCTATTCATGACACCCCAAGTTACATTAAGCCTACAATACTTGTCATCAGCCAGAGATGACCTTCCAGTAAATACAGTACAGTACAGTACAGTACTGCCTGCCCCTTCAAGTCGGTAAACAGCTGTAACAGATACAACTATGGAATTTACTGCCATTGGTCTTCTTTTGTTAATGTAGGTAGTAGGAAACATTGGATTTAAAGACAGAATTAAGATGCTTGAAACACATTACTGTACATTATTTCTTGTAAGCAATATTTTTGAGACTCGTACTTAGCTCTTATGAAACAAGCATTGGGTTTAGAAGACTACCAAAAGAAAACTGTGAGAGCAACGCAGAGCAATATGACTTGGGTTCAGATTTAAAAGTCTAAATGTTGGTACTATGCAGAGAAAATTGGGTGAGGTTGTTGAGATATTGAGCCATAGAAAGTTGGATACAGTACTTATTGTATACAAGAAAGCAGATGAAAAAGAGCATCTGCAAGGTTGATTATTGATAAGAATGAATGGTACAAAATCATCTGGATGCTTAGTGATTCTTTGTCAGGTGGTGTAGTGATCTTGATTGTTGGAAAGTGGGTGGAGAAAATGCTTGCAGTGACAAGGGTAAATGCAAGAATTCTGGTTTTGAAGTTACTGGTCGGAAAGAATCTGGTAACTATTACGAGGTGTGACCAGAAAGTATCCAGCAATTTACTATTAAAAAAAAATATTGCTTACCTTGGACAATGGCACCTTAGTCCCCTTCAAAGTACTCCTCTTGGGACCTCACACACTTCTCCCAGCATCCCTTCCACTTTTCAAAACATTCTGCAAAGTCCTCTTTCGGGATCTTCATCAGCTGCCTCGTCTCATTCTCCTTAATCTCGTCCATGGTCTGAAATCTCCTCCCTTTCAACAGCGATTTTAGCTTTGAGAAAAGCCAGAAGTCGCAGGGAGCCAAATTTGGGCTGTAGGGGAGCTGAGAGACCTGGATGATGCGATGTTTTGCCAAAAAACCCTGCACGAGACTTGAAGAATGGGCAGGCGCGTTGTCATGATGAAGCTGCCAGTTACCACTTGCCCACAGCTGCGGTCGTTTTCTTCTTCCCACATCCCTTAGCCGGCGAAGAACTTCGATGTAGTACTCCTTCGTTATTGTTTGGTCATTGTAAATGCGACGGTCACACAGTACCCACGCTCACTCAAAGGCGTCTGCCGGGCAACCGAGTTGCCCCACGGGAGTGTGGCTGTTCACGCATGCACAGTACGGTCCTCTCTGAGTGGCTGCCAAGTTACATCAAGGCTGTGCGACCAGTTCTCACAATATTCACAGTGGCTGGATACTTTCCGGACAGACCTCGTATATTAGCATACCCCCCCAGGTTGGGTTAAGTGTGAAGGAAAATGGCAAGTTCTGGGAGGGGTTGCTGCATGTAGTACCAGAGCTTAGTGATAGAGAAATTTTAGCACTGGCCGTGTTAATGATCACAAAATGGGTTATGAAGGTGTGTTTGGGGAAAAGGCTATGGAACAAGAAATACTGAAGTTGTAAGCTTGAGTTTCAGGATGTACTGAGTAAAGTTATTTGCAATATGTTCAAGAAGGGGTGTAGGCTGATCACATATGACTCTGGTGGTACAAAAACCCAGATTAACATGTCATGAAATAAAACAGAAATGAAATAAAACAGAAAGCTGGTTAAGGATGTAAGAGTAGGATGTAAGATTGCTGGTATGTGACATGTTACTAAAAAGTAGCAAGGAAAGGAAGAAGGTGTATGTTCAAAGAAGAAGAGTGCAGAAATGAAAGGAACAGAATGTAAAGGAAGCACTTTATGCTAATTTAAGGAGAGTGGAAACAGCTAGTGAAAGTATGAGGGGTAGTGCAGCAAGTCACTGACTGGGCCAAATTAAAGAATGGTCTTTTAACTGCAGCAGACAAGATGTGTGGCTGGACTGAGGGCCTATCCAGACATGCAATATGATGGTGGAATAATAAGTTGGATAGAATGATAAAGGAGACTAGAAAAATGTATAAGGCCATTATCTTTGGACAGTTTAAACCATGGCATGAAAAATCTAAGTCACAATCATGGTGCATATTATTACTAGCCACAATCATTGTTCTAAATGTTTGTATCACAGTTTGCATTGTCTCTTGATAGTGGCTGCTCCCATAAATACTGTTTGAGCTAATCCATGTATATTCTAGCAGCTGCCTCAAAGCCTTAGTATTCACTTTGTCCCTGTTAAAGATGCACATGCCTTGACTTTGCAACATCCTCTGGACCCCATCACACCACCTGCTTCACTACAAAAGATAGCAAGGAAATTTTAATGAGGGCAAAACATTACAACCTTTTTGCTCTTATATTTTGACAGCCAACTTTGCTATCAGTGGAAAGGTACTAGTACACGTTAGGCCACACTAATCTGGGAAGCTTGGGACCAGACCAGTTCCGGATTAGGGAAAATTCCGAACCATCGAAGCCGAGTTTACAAAAGACAAAATAATGCATAAAATGTACTATTACTGATACCAATACAACTTACATCAGCATAAATCTAGCCCAAGCCACACCATATTCTGCACACAAGGTCCTGACTGATGTACCATTGTCTAATTTCTTCAGTATAGACACCTTTTCTAAAATACAGTGGTCCCCCGGTTAACGAACACAATTCGTTCCAGCAGGTTGTTCGTTAACCGAAACCATTGTTTCAATGGGTTTTTGGGTAATTGGTTCCAGCTCACCGAAAATTGCCTAAATTCAACAAAAATGGTAGAAAAGTTCACTTACTTTGAGGTGTGTATGTAGAAATCTCCTGGATGATGATGATGATGGGAATTAGAATGGGGGTGGAGGAGAAGGAAGAAGAGAAGTCACCCCATGGCACCATTTCACCCATAAAATTTTAGTTCTCTTGGTGTATTTCAAGATTATTTTCTTTAAATCAACACTGCACTGCATTATATATTGTCAATATGTAAAATATATTTCAAAATGACCAATAATTTGCTTGGAAACACAGAAAAAAAGCATTTAGTTGAAGAGAGTTTCAAGCAAGATGTTACCTCCAGTGAAAACAGAGAGAGACTAACGCCTGTTTGCTATGTTAAGAGGCTGGATGCCGCGCATTAAACTAGTTACTTTACCTTCAATTATGTTCAATAATTGTTAAAATGACTAAAAATTGAATATTAAACTTTTAAAATTATTGAATAGTGTAAACTTCTTGATATTTACTAAAATAGTAAGGAATTTAAGCCCTAGATCCGATTAATGTATTGGCGGACTAATACTAAAGCTGGTTGACCGGCCAGTGCAAGCGAAAACATGTTGAGGTCGGTTCGTAAGAAATTCGTTAACCGAATTTTTGTTCGTTAACCGAATTTAAGAATCTTATGGGAGGCAGTTCGTTAACCGAAATTTTGTTAACCGAGGCGTTCGTTAACCGAGGGACCACTGTAGTTAATGGCACATGCTTATGTTTTGCTGCATTGCAACCACTTCCACTCCTTGTTGGTCTCTTAGGATGCATATCTAGGGGTAAATTATAAGTATTTAAAGATAAAATTAGTGGCAGCAGCCACTAAAAGTGAGCTATGACACCGTCCCAAACCATCGAAGCTGTCAGACTATCGAGTCCCAGATTAGCGGGGGTCCAACCTGTAATTTCTTGTAGAAGTAATGAAAACCCAAAGGAAAGTTTCTTTAGAGTAGAAGTGGAGTGATGGACACATTTATCCATTGTGGGTTACTTCTGTACTGGTTTGATGATGATAAGATCTACCTTTCCTGTAGCCAGTCACAGGGAACTAATGAGAGCCTGGAACCTAACCCCATTTTTCCCTATAAGCAGAAGGATTATTCTTATGCAGAATACTGATTCACATTGTAAGGTGTTTGTGAGAAACCTGACCACCATGTAAATTGAGGGTTTGCTGTACAGTATACAGTATTACCCCGCTTTACGCTTTTTTTTTACGCGTTTCCACGTTTACGCGGTACTCTGCCAGACCCGGAATGGTCACTTTATGCGGTGCATGTACTCTTTTACGTGGAGAGCGGCGCGGGCAGGGTGCACACAAGGTCGCCAAGTCATCAAAACATTACCGAGTTCTTCACCCACCACCCACCACAGCCGGCCCAAGTCAGTGATAGTGAGGATATGGACTTATATGGACTTTGAGGGGTTTGACAAAGAGGCCCTGCAAGCCTCTGTGGTGGATAGTGATACAATTGATACAAGTGAGGGCCAATAATCTGCCCTCTGCCTTGGAACCAACCCCCCATCCCCATGTGCCCAGCCATCTTTTCTACTGATGTAAGTGTTAAAAAACCTAATATTATTGATATATCTTTTAATTATTAATTGTGTGTGCATACCATTATAAAATTAAGAAGTTATTTTTACTACAACGTAGGTATTGTGTCTGAAAAAGTGGAGTATGGAGGTCGGCCCAGTCTCTATTTCAATTAATCCCATATGTTCTGTTGTTCACTTTACAGTCAGTTCTGCTATAACACGATAGTTGTGTTCTTGTAAAACATCGTGTTATAGAAATTCGCGTAATAGAAATAACAGGGCTTATGGAGAAAATAGGGTTAGGTGCAGATTACTACTCGAAATTGAAAAAAAAATTTAGTAGTTAGGATAGCACAGTCTAAATAAATGTTTCATTCATATCTAATAATGAAATCATACAGTAAATGTAACACTTTACCTTGAAAAAATATGAATATAACTTGATGGGGGAGAAGGGTGATTTTGAGGTAGATAACATCGAGCTTCTCTTCAAGGGTTATAGCCTTTCTTTTACGATCATCACCGGGAATGCGATCACCAGAATGCTTCTTGGAGATATTCTTCTTTACCATATTCACAGTTAATACCACAAAATTGGAGAAATAGTAAGCGAAAATCGCATTACAGCAAACAAGTGTTCGCGTTATACAAATATCGTTCCTCTATTCATAAATCGCGTAAGAGCCAATTCGCGTTGTCAAAACATGCGTTATAGCAGAACTCACTGTACGCGTTTCCCGCTTTACACGGGCCTCCGTGGGTTCAATTGACCGCGTAAAGCGAGGTTTCACTGTACTGTACCTTGATTATATCCTGAAGGTGTTCTCTCTTAATTAACTTTTATATTTTATTTAATTGTACTGTACAACAAGGCATAAAACATTATTTTTTCTTACTTCCAGACGGCTGTCAGTCTTGGAGTTGACTGCTAATGAGATTTCTAATCAGACTGGAAATCCTGTCCATGCTGTCCAAATGGATATTCGAGACCCAGTAGCTGTAGCAAGTGCATTTGATTCCTGTGAAGCTAAATTTGGCCTTCCTAATATTATCATAAATAATGCAGCTGGTAACTTCATATCTGTAAGTTGCAATACTGTACACTGTTCCACTTACATATCTGTCTGTATCAACAAGTACAGGTTTATATACGGGGCATCCCCGAGTTACGAACGGGTTCCATTCCTTAGGATGTTCTTAAGTCGGATTTGAACATAAGTTGGAACACATGCTTTGTGCTTGTTCTTATATACAGTACATCTAAAATCACTTAATACTGTATAAGAGAAAAGAAGAAATAGATTGACAAAATACAGTAAATGAAAGTAAAATATAAGTCATCAGGTAAATAAAACCTTGAAAATTTTAAGTTTAACCCCATTCTTATTGGTGGGAATTCATAAGTCGGGGACCCCCCTGTACATGATGTCCAATTTTAAAGAACTCGTGTACAAGTTTTTTTTTAACATCAACTCGTATATTTTGAAGGTCATATGTACCATCACTTTATTATTTTCTCACTAATTATTGAACTGTCATGAGCAAGAACCAATTATATTTGTATGTCTTCAAGTTTAAGGGCATAAATATTGGTAAAGGTAGGGGCAAATCGAAGAATATAAAAAGGGGTGGGGTGGGGTGGGTGTTGGTTCCAAGAAGTTGTGGATGACAGAACTTGGTGAGCACAGTGAAACCACCCAGCTTGGGTGGTTGGGTGGGGGGAGTTTCTATAACCACCCCCTTTTCTTTTTAAATCTGACAAATATCATGGGCATTTTGAGGCCATGTGTATTTGATATTAAGAGATATTCTGAGGTCAGTAGTAATTACTTTTTACTGTACAAAAACACCCAAGTACAATTCTGCATTAAAGAAAAGGTATTGGAATTTTCTGATGAAAAGGGGAGTTGAGACCCCCCAGGATCCCCCCTGGATCTGTACCTGAAAGGTTAAATTATCGACAAATTGCAGGTAGTCTTTCATTACCTCAGAGAGTTACAACCCTGCCTTGCCATCTGTTCACACCCTGTGGGTCAGCATTAGGAAGGGCATCCAGCTGCAAAAGTTTGCTTCATTATGCCTATGGGAACCAGGTCATCAAATCTGTGTCCCTTCCCTAGCCTCTGCTGCATTTTCTGGGCTCTCATCCTGGGTTTGCAGCTGTACAGGTGAGGACATCCCATTCTGGTTTTACCCAACCGCCAACATTAGTTAATGATGGGTAACCCATACAAGTGTGGAAAATGGCCATGAAACAATAAAAGTTTTATAATACAGCATAAGTGGGATGAGATGCCATTTAATCAACTATGCTGGTTAACAGAGTTACTCTTTCCACAGGAATACAGTACAGGTACAGTATTCTCCCCACTCAAGTACAGGTCGTTCACAATTATGCAGGACTCAAAAGCGCTGATTCATGTTAATTTTTACTACCAAATGTCATTTATGCTGGCCTAAGGTTCACATATACTGTACACATGTGCACATTATGTTTCACTTTCCCCTTCAAGCTTCTTTACAAGTAAAGAATCCTTGAAGAAACCTCATAAGATGTTAATATTTTGCAGTACTGTATTAGAAACTTAAGTTAAGAGATTTTGAAAAAGTTGAATCAACTGCAGAGCTTTGCAAATCGAGCGTATGTACATGCTATCAAGAGGGACGCAGACAAAATTAGTAATGTTGTTAAACAGTCAATTATAACTGTAGCCAAGGTGAGAAAAAGAGAGAGGAACCTAGTGTTAGAGAATATACTCATGAATATACTGATGAATATACTCATTTATTGTGTCCATTCAATAATATACCCAGTATGCATATACAGGTAAACCTTGATAAACAGTGGGGTTAGGTTCCTGAAAAACCCATTGCTAAGTGAATTATTGTAGATTGGAATGATTATAACGGGGTTCAATGGGATACGTTCCCAGCCAGTCCCCAAACACACATGTATCACCGACAAAAGAATTCTTACACTCATAAAATCATTAGAAAACAATTAAACAACACTCACCACATCATGAAGAACAAGTCTGGTCATCATCACATGTCCTCTTCGAGGCTAAGGGGACTCTTGTAGGTGGAGTGGAGACGTTACTCTGACTCCCACACAGAGCAAAAATTCAGTACAGGTATTATTAACCTGTACATTTCACTTCAGTCACAATTACAGAGTGAATATGCTATTAACCTTTAGTGTACTGTCTCACTTCACTGTCACTAAAACAGAGCGAAAGCGCTTAACTTCTGTATAAAAAAAAAAGCAATGACAACGTAAGCACAATGATAGCGGCTGACACAGATCACATGTTCACAAAAATAGAGGCAAGGCACTTTGCAGTCACCCCAAAAAAGTATATCGCTTCACAGTCACTATAATACAGTTCAATCTAAATGTTAGTGCTGTCCTCTCACTATAAGAAAAAATCACCGATGACAAGTACCTGTACAGTGTACATATAGCCAACGATACTGAACAATAATCGTGGAGCTATGCAATGATGGACACATGCGATCAACAAAGAACCAAGCATAGGACTGTAGTGTGCGGGTCGGCTGTGTGGCGGCGCGTGGGTAGATATTGTCATGACTGACAAGTGCAGCGAGAGATGCATTCCCTACAGTGGCGCATAGGGTTAAATTTGTTTATTTATAAAATGTCCGACTTGACGTAGAAAAATGTGGTTTTCATTGCTCTCCACTCACGGCTCAGGGGTCACACTAATCACTGATGCACTATACCGGCATTTACTAAAATCGTTATTTGAAACTAATCATATTGTAGTATAATAATGTTCTGTAACTACTATAGTATTGTCATCTAATTTTTCTTTATTATATCACACCATAGATCAAACTTGCACTAGGATCCCACTTCCTCCATCAAGGAATAAAAAATTGAAATTGATCAAACATGTTCGCTTATATCCTATGTAGTATTCTTCCCGAACTGTAGATGTAGCTGTTTAACTCAGACGTGTCTGGTGCCATAGCCTGTATTTCACCAACTGTACCTAATGTTTGATAAAGTTGTAATCTTAACTATAAACTCTTTGTCATAAGGTGTTATCCTCAGAGACATAAAGAGCTTATCTACTCTTTCACAGTTATTCACCTTAGATATACACTTCCTCATTCTTCCCCAGGCTTATTCTTTGGCTTACAATAACACTCCCTTCTGTGAGTGTCTCACTTATTTTTACATGGTAAAATTGAATATTTTTTATGCATATTGATTAGATTGATTCACTTGTTGTTTGTTTGTTCATGCTCTTAAGTGGCCACAATATGCATTTGAATCTCTAATGAAAGCTTTACATTTGGTTGGCTTGGAATTAGGTAATGCACATTTTTAAGTCCGCATTAGACAAATGTCATCGTCAGAAGGCACCAGTATGGGTCACAAAATTTTCACAGCTGACTGGTATAGTAAAGGTTTAGACACCTGTCAAGACCAAGTTCACAGTCTCTTTATTAAAATTACTTTTACGAAGTGTCACTCTTAAGCAGTTAATACAACAACTTTGTGTAAATAATGAATATTAAGGCTCCTCATCATCATCACTGTTTTTATGGTAATTTTCAACACTTGCTTGTGTTAGTTATGATCAATTAAATTTAGGAGATACAGTCAACAAAAACAGTATCATGCTGCTTTCCATATTTTTCATTCTTTAACACAGGATGAAATGTTTAGAAACCCGGGTATGCCGACCCAACACATACCATGAGTGGCGGAGGTGTTTGCTCATTCCCAGTTCCAATGGATCCCATGGGTGCTATAATTTTTGGGTTAACCGTGCATAGTTGTATCCACCTGGGATCAGTCAGAAATTTGGGTGTTTATTTTTTTTTTTCATCTTCATGCCATGCTCAAGAAGATCTGCTAGCTCTTTCACTTAATAATCACTCATGTACAGTATCATCTTTTTCACCAAACCTTAATGATTTTGTTTGTGAAAATTCTACATTCTTCATCGGCATGCCCATTTTTTTTTAATTTAGCTTAATATTAACAGTTTAGTTGCATGTCATATTCAGCACTTTCAAACTCACTCATTACATTCATGCAGTAGTCCCTCGCCAACCGCAGATTTCAGGTATCCACGGTTTTTACTCTGTATACTATTTCACCGACAGTGGCATTGAATTTAGAGTATCCATGATTTTGCATGCCGTTATTTTTCCCTCCGTGTGTTCAGCCTCCTGCCATACTCTGTGTTGTGATCTCGTTCCGTGCAGATGTATTTTTTTGCTCTGGACACTGGACATTTATTACAAACTTTCTACTGTAATAACATAGATTTTGCCTTTAACTGTAGTCCCTAAGCATGCATTGAGTGTTAGTGATAGAGAGAAGAAAGTGAAGAGGGCAAGGAATGTAATGACTCAAGAAAAGAGGTTGAAGTGCTCAATAGACTAGCATGTGGTAAGAGTATATTGTCAGTGGGATGCGCCATGAGGATAAAAGAATCCACAATTCATACGATTAAGAAATGTGAGGCTACAATAAGGGCTTGTGTTGCTGGTGGCACATGGAAAAGTGCAAAAGAGAGTGGGCCTGTGTTCCCCTCTTCCTAATAATGACCATCTCTCCCTCTACATCATCCTCATCCACCATCATCCTCAGTGAAGCTAAATTCCCCTTATACATTACTGTTAAATTTATATTACTATTTAATTTACATTACTCTATTTTATATGTATTTGACTCAAATTTAATGAAATGTACAATGCAGGTATTGTCTTGCAGGAGAACAGGCAACTTAGTTAGGCTTTGACGAATGTTATCGGTAGCCGTGTAACCTAACCCCTTATTTCCCATAAGCCTTTAGTCTTACCAACTGTGGATTAACCAACCACAAGGTTTTCCAAGAACCTAACCCCTGTGGTTTGCAAGGGACTACCTGTACTGTATTGCATTAAGGTGATGGAAAAAGAAATAACTAGTTTTTAAAAATATTCTAGCCCCTAAAAGTCTTACACATAATTTGTATTCATAGATTTTTCAGCACTTTATTACCAAATGGTTAACTTAAATGTTTTAATTTATTTGTTATTTTGCCTTTACAGCCATCAGAAAGACTCAGTGCAAATGCTTGGAGAACCATCACAGATATTGTATTGAATGGCACAGCTTATGTTACCTTAGAGGCTGGGAAACGACTTATTAAAGCAAAACAAGGTTTGAATTTTTATTTTATTTTTTACTTACATATCTGAGTCAGTTATTCAAAAGATCTCTTGAGCATTAGAATGGGTCAGATCACTTTTGTGCAAAAAATTTTACTTGTAAGGAAAATAATATGCCTGTTGTCAATATGTAAGGCATATATGGAGGTATAAACAGTCCTCATTTATCTCAATGGTTCACTTCCCGAAAATTTTGTGATGTGTGGAATTACAATATGATTTGCAAAACTATTATTCCCATAAGAAACTATGAATTAAGGGGAGATTCATTCATGGACAGGAATTTTATTACTTGGCCAATTTTTCATACAGAAACATTTAATAATTTATATACTGTATATAAAAAATAAGACATGAAATACCCTGTACATACTAATTTGTAAGAATTATAACTATATAAATAAATGAGAAAATATGAAATACGGTACAAACAATTACAATAGCTTTGGGTTAATTTATGAGATGGAGACCAAGAATATTTGTGAAATAAATTATGATATAGAAATATTGTACAAGTAATTTAATACAAAATAAGGGTTGAAGAGACCAGAGGCCTAAAACATTCATAAAACAATGCTTAAAAGATTTATTTTTCTTAAGAAACACAAGAAATGTATACATACAATGTTCTGGCACGCTGGGAAAAATAAAGATACCTGTACAAAAACAAAGATTTCACAAAAATATGAAAAAATAATACATGACAGCCATGCTGCCTCCAACTGGCACGATGACCCACAGGATCGTGGGTAATATTGGATGATGGTTAAGCACGTGGACCAGCAACTCTAGGAAATTTTTCTGTAGAAGATAAATACATTCTTAACCCATAAAAAGCTCAAGAAAAGGGAAGAAAGTTATGTTCCCATTATATAGTTCAGTTTAGAGTATTACAGCCTTAAAGTTCTTCAACAATTCCTCTAGTACTATTATTGTATGTCATCTGACTTATTCTTTAGTGAGATGCTCATTATTTTATCCTCTTGTTTTACATCTCTGCCCTAATACTCTACCTGTAAACCTTGAAGTTCCTGAAGTTTAATTTGCTTATCTCTAGCTCTTACCTAGAGATTTCCTTCTCTATACCTAGTTTCTCTTCTTTCTCTATCCTCCAGTATGTAATCGTTGCCTTTTAACCATCTTCAGGTATCATTACACTTCAGAATAATACTCTTACATACTGGTTGACTCTCCTGTTTCTATTAATATTCTTCTCACTGTATCTTTTATTCTGCTTCTGTTACTCCTTTCCTTTCTTCCTCTTTGATTTTTTCTTTCCTACAAAATCACAGTTTAACTTTCTATCAGTCTGTTTATGGGAAGATATTGGTTTTAAATAAAAAAAAGGGAGAAGCATGGTGGAGCAAAGGAATAAAATAGGCAGTGGTAAGGAAGAGAAAACTGTGCAGTGGAAGGGTATTGGTGGAAGAGCAGGAGGAGGAAACTGAAACGGAATAATGGGGTAATGAAACTGGAGTAAGGACAAACCTTCTCTCCATACAAATGTCAATAAAAAAAATAACTACTGTATTTGCATTACTGCTTGCAGCCTCCTTTTCTACACTGTTTTCCTTCTACTCATTTCCTGCTTTTGCATTATCACTTAACACTTTTATTTTTATTTTTTCTTAAATATTTGGGTACATATACCAGTACAGGATACAGTACTGTATTGTATATATAACCCCCAGAATTTTCCATTTTTATCTTTTCCCTTATTTGCATACTTTACTTATTCAATTCCCCCTTATTCATACTACCGGGTATTCTGGAAATTTTCCTTTCATATTTCATTATGTGTTACAGTATTCATCCTCTATGGCATGAGGAGCACCACACTTGTTTTTATTCCTTTATAATTTCCATTAATTCCAGACTACACCAATCCACCAGTCATTCCTTTTTGATACATTACAGTAAGTCCCCATTGAACAAAAGGGCTAGGTTCCACTAAAACGCTTTCGTTAGGTGGATTACGTTCATCAAAACCATTTTTCCCATAAATTAATGTAATAGGAGGGGGATGTGTTCCTGTGCTAAGCTCTGTGATAGATATGTACTGTACATTACTAAACTCTGTGACAAAATAATTGCAACACATCAAAATACTGAAGATAAAAACAATAAAACGTGTATAACATAAAGGTATATAAACAGAGTTGTCAGTTGTTGTTTGTAGGAATATGGGAATGTGGAATGACAGTCGTAATAGTATGAGAGAGAGGCAGTGTCGGTGAGATGCAGTGGGTGGATGGGAGGGAGGGAGGAAGAAACATGGTAAGTGGTGAGGAAATGATGTGTCCGTCAGTTTGTTTAGTAACACTGGCTGCAGGACTGCCAGACAATTTAACAGCTGATGTCTACCCACAAAATTGAGTGTAAGTATAAATGAACAACATAGTATTCTGTTTACATTATGTTACATAAATTTTAAATTATGGAGTGAGAATAACAAATTAACAATGCACAATATTGTACTATCATGAATGACAGTCATAGAATGAGTGAGAGAGGCAGTGTCGGTGAGACAGTGGGTGGGAGGGAGGGAGGAAGGTGAAATTATGATTTAGGTGGTGAAAATAAAGGTAGTGGTGGTGATGGTGGTAATCATGGAGCTAGTGGTGAGAAAGCAGAAAGGTGGGGGTGACTTGCATTTTGTAATAGTAGAACATTCTTTCGTTAATCAGCAAATGGTTAGTTAAAACTTGCATTCGTTTTAGTGAGGCTTTGTTCAAAGGATTAACGTTCATTGAGGACTTACTGTACCTCTTTCTCTGGTTTTAATTTTCCTTCTTCCATTAGAAGCGTCTCTCCAGAGTCCTGTTATGTTCAGTCTATTGTCTACAAATTGTTTAATGTTTCCCTCCCTTTTGCTACTGCATTTATTCTGAAGTGTTAGACCGGGATTGATACAGGACAATTTAATTATTGGGTGAAGTTCTAAACTCAAGTGAAAGAAGAGAGATAGACGATAGATTGGTTCTGGCCGTCCCATTTTATGATTGAGTCAGTGACAAGGAGACTCATTTATTGTACCAAGCAAGAGTCGAGGTACCAGTCCAGGCTTCACCCTTGACATTGATAGCTGGCACGAGTTAAATAATTCAGACATCTCCAGTGTTACAGAAGGGATGCATTATTTAAAGATTGTCTGTGACTTTCCTTTCCACAATTTGAAATTGATTTTCCCATTGAAACCAATTATGCTTGGAAATATGTTCCTTAAAAAAAAATCTGCCATAAGACAATAAAAGGTACATATATTGTATACTGAAATAAACTTTTTTAACACACACCAAATGGAAGGTTGACTATTTTATGATCTACAGTACACAGAATACTTGGATATAAGTCACCAGAAATGGACAAAATCTTTGTTAACCTTCCTGTGGTGTTTTGACGTAACCCCTCTAGCTCAGCAGTATCTCACACTGAGCACCCTCCCACTAGCCTCGTGGGCTAGCAGATGCATCTCTAAGGGTGCAATTTGGGTCTGAATCGCTCTACCCATTGTTTACTAAAATGGAAAAACCTTTCCTATTACTGTTCCAACGCAATTTACATTGAAAGACTGCAAGGGGGCAATATTTCCGATAATGGCCAAGAGTACCAGAGGGTTAAACATCTGATGCTCTATTGTACATTTGGCCAACACAAGCATGAGCAATATATTGCATCTACTTGAAATCCCACAAGCTGGTAAAACAATATGAACCAAAAGACTGTCAATAACAAGGTGGTATAAGGATGTCTTTTACACACAGGCATTATGAAAAAAAAGTAATTATCCGGTAAATGAAATTTTTTTACTCTATACTTTTGGTGCTGAAAATTTTGAAATTTCACCTTATTTCCATAAGTGTGAATGTTGTTTCCATATCCCAAATGTAATTGTGATAATTTACAAATTCCATATACGGTAGGCAAATTCCCATAACCTAAATGTTAATAATGCAAGGAATAACTGTTCTGAAACACTCCCGTCACAACTAGATCCTGAAATTAGAGGGGATAGCTACCATTGAAGGCTGAAAGATGACAAAGTCTTGATGCTTTAGTACATCCTTGCCTTTCTTAATTCACTGTTAACCATATTTTATTTCCATATGCCAGAAACATCCTCAGAGTCTGAGTCTACTAGTCATAAAATTGAATTTTTAGGATCAGTCCATTATATGTACTGTAACTGGACAGTTCCAAAAAGAATCCTGCATATAAAGCCAACAATGAAAAGTGAAAAAAAAAATCATATATACTGTATAGTACTGTACTATACACAGGATTTTTTTGATCTGGTTCTCACATGCTTACTGTAGTTTATTTTTTGGCTGTTGTTTCAAGTTTGCCAATCTTACCAGTATTGTACTACAGTACTGTACAGTACAATACTGTATTTAATTAAGAATTTGACTCATGGAGTGCACCAAGAGTCATTTCTCCTTGGCTACAGAGGGAATGGTTTGTTGATTAGGAAGTTGGATTCCTCTGTCTTTTTGTCTACGGTAAATGTAAATTGTATTACAGTAATATCTCTGTTAGCCGGAATCCCTCGAACCCGGAACTCTCCGATAGCCGAAATTGAAATTTTCTCGGAAAATCGTTCCCAAAACTGGAATTTTCCTGAAAATTCCGACTTTGGGAACAATTTTCCGTGGGGCACATTTTCCAAAAAATAAAAAAATAATTTCCTGGTGCCCGGAAAATTCCGGGGATGGGGGAGTTTTTTCCGGGTTTGAGAGATGAAAAGCAGGCGCATTTTCTAGAAATTCCGAGAAAATTTATCCGTTACCCGGAAAATTCCGGGGGCGGGGGATATTTTTCCAGGTTTGAGAGATGATGTAATGGGCCATTTCTGGAACTTCCGAGAACATTTTTCCGTTAGCCAGAAAATTCTGGGGATAAGGGATTTTTTTCCGGCTTTGAGAGTCGTCCCGTTACCTGGAAATCTCTCATTGCCGGAATTGCTCTGCATCAATTGTTCCGGCTGCTGGGGATGTCACTGTATTTTGTTTTGGCTTTTAATCTAAACATGGTGTTTCTAAAGCCAATCACCAGGAAGATATCTGCCATGTGCAACTGAACTGTTTTTCAGAAGTTCATGTTCATTGGGACATCACTACTGTAAGTGATAACCTCAATAGGAAGAATGTACCTTAGCTTAGGATTTGACCTTTATTTGTAGGTCCTGTAAATTTAAGTATTGTGTGAGGAATGGGGAATGTTTGACCAATATATCGTACTATACCCTACTCTAGCTATTTAATAGTTACCTTTGTTACTAATTTTTTTATTAGTACTAGCCAACAGTGTAAAGAGTTGATCCTTGATTGGCACCTGTAGGCTTTGTTATAATACTGTACTGTTCATAAGTCACTTTGTTGCCGACTTAGTCATAAAATGAGATTTGCAGGATCTATCCATCATTTACAATTTTTCTTTCACTTAACTCAAGCACTTCTTACATAACCTAAATTGTTCTGTCATTTCTAGTCTGATACTATACAATATATAAAATTTTAGTGTAGAATAATTTAATTATCTTTCCTTTTATCATGCTCTCTCATACATAATAATTCAAATTACTGTTTTATAAATGTGTACCAGTCTCATTCACCTTATTATATTAATTTTTCTTAAACAGTATTCAGCTTAGCTGTGTCTACTGTACCTCTAAAATTTTTGTCATAGTCATTGCCTACCTACCTTCTTGTTACTGTAATAGGAATGCACATTCCTGGGATAGGACTCTCAACCTCATCCAGCCCCTTATTCATTTTTTTGCATTATGCAGGGATATGGAGGATCTGTTTATATTTAATTATTTCTAAAGCTTTTGTGTTCAATTATTTTGTAACATTTAATTTTCATGATATTTAATTATCAATTTGTTTTCAATTCTTTAAAAGGGGGTGTTTTCTTGAGTATAACAACACCATACACACGCAGTGGATCAGGCTTTGTCTCACCGAGTGCTTCAGCTAAGGCTGGAGTTGAGACTTTAACAAGGTAAGTTACAAAATAGCTGACTCAATTTTAAGTACTCCTTGACTCCAAACCCATGAGACAGGTTCAGTTCTGTCCAAGGCATCTTTGTTGGAGGTGTTATATTGTTGAACTGACCACCAGCCATATTAATGAAGTGCTCCCAGCTAAGCTACCATAACACATCTTGCTTTGGAGTCACTACCCCACAGAGAGCTCTCATAGTACAGTATAGGCAACTTCCTTGGGGTCCTCGAGTCCTTAGAATGAGTTCCCCATTATCAATATGTAATCTATTACCACTATTTAGGGGGACATAAGACAGCTGTGCCCTGAAGAGCCATAGGTGTTGTGCACTCAACGTGTTAAGCAACTGTTCTGCCCATATGATTCTAAGTGAAGCTGATTAAATCTATCTTGGGTTAAACTGATATACCTTAATTTTCAGCTAACTAATCAATGAATATAAGGGATAAAGGGTGGTTTCTGAGTATCAGAATGTAGGATTTTAAGACCAATCTGTCATTTCTATGAAATAGTTGCAGGTCTGATTAGAATCAATGACCAGCTAATTATATGGTTCACCACGAATCAGGTGTTATAAATTGTAAGACAAAGTATTCTCATATACAGTATACTATGTTTTTTTTTTTTGTTGACAAAAAACAAGAACCTGGAACTGATTACAGGTATCCGTTGTTTAGCAATCAGGATGCATTCCTGAAAAACAGAAACGAGAAATATTATCTTTAACAGGGGATAACAAAGAATAATATCAATGGAGGTTGCACATAATTGTGTAGCTGAATTGCTGACTGACCAACTAACCACCCAGAGCGGTTGAGGGTCAGCTGTGAGCTGTGCGTTTGTTCAACTCGTAATTTTCTTTTGCTGTTACATGCACACACAATCGTTCAAACAATGTGCAAACAAAAATATATAAAAATAATCATCATAAGGTTGAAAACTTAAAGGGAATAGACAGTTCTTATGTGGTCTCCAGTTTGCCGACAGAGAGGCAGGGGAGCCTGGAGCGGTGTGGGGATGTCCCTGCTATTTGCTGTCTTGTGTGGAGTGAAAAGAATGCCAAATGGTGAAACAGGGGAAAAGACTTAGAATTTGCAATACCCCCCTGTAAAAATAAACTGCAGTACACTACAGTAAAGTAACACTCACCAAGTCCACATTAGAAGCAAAGTCCTAATGTGTCTTCTCCAAGGCTGGAGGACTACTGTGCCTAGGACTGCCATTTTCTTTAATTTTTAAGTCACATTAGAGTATTGTAATGATTTTTTAGACAACTTTTAAAGTTCATTTAAAGCAACAATAAACGCTGCAGTTAGGCTGACGAGTCGGAGAGGTAGTTATAGCCTACCATACACACATTTTCACTTCTCACATATACACACCCGTGCTCTTCATTTTTCTTATTTTATACTTTTATATTATATTTTCTTCATTTCTAAGCCACATTGTTTATATAGAGTAGAATAATTGTTGAAGAAGTCCATTTTTCTGAGAGCCACACCAGGAGTCAGCTATGGCCTGTGGGAGATGATGGCAATGCATGTTGCCATTGTTACATACAATGAAACTATAAAAGTTGTGGAAAAATCATTTCAAAATTCTAACGTGATTTAGAAATTAAGAAAATATAATATAAAACTATAAAATAAGAAATGTGAAGAGCATGGGTGTGTATTCTGTGTGGAAGGTGATTTTGTCAATAGTGCATCTGGTGACTCGGCTGGTTAGGCCTATTTCAGTTTAAATGTGCCCGACACAACCAACGCTGCTGTATGTTTACTTTATCCTCTTTGCCACTGATTGTCAAGTTGATTTCAGCAGAGAATATTTGGGAAAAATAATGAAAGCATAAAAAAGCTAAAATTATACAGGATAGTGCACACATTGCATTGCAGCTCACCTGGGATGTGCTGCCTCTTTCGACCGACCTTTAGCAACTGTTGCTAAGGGTCAGTCGGCAATTGGTAGAGGCATACAACCCAAACCCCTCACTACACGTGGCTAACTTAAACACAATATTTTAATTTTTAATTAATTAAAAAATAATTATTGTAAATATAAAAGCTGCATTTATAACTACTGTACAGTGGTCCCTCGGTTAACGAACACAATTAGTTCCAGAAGGTTGTTCGTTAACCGAAACCATTGTTTCAATGGGTTTTTGGTTAATTGGTTCCAGCTCACCGAAAATTACCTAAAGTAAAAAAAAATGCAGTAAAGCACACTTACTTTGAGGTGTGTATGTAGAAGGCTCCTCGATGATGATGCTGATGTGAATTTGAGGTGGAGAAGGAGAAGGGAGAAGAGAAGGAAGTGGAGGTGGAGGAGAAGGGAGAAGAGAAGGCATTGGGGTGGAAGAGAAGTCACCCCATGCCGCCATTTCACCCATAAAATTTTAGTTCACTTGGTGTAATTCAAGATTATTTTCTTTAAATCAACACAGCACTGCATTATATATTGTCAATATGTAAAATAGACTTCAGAATGACCAATAATTTGACTGGAAACACAGAAAAAAGGCGTTTATGTTGAAGAGTCTCAAACAAGATGTTCCTTCCTCTGAACCGATAAACAAACTAACGCCAAGCTTGGTGTGTTGAGTGGCTGTTTGGCGTGTAAAAAACTAGTTTCCTGTACTTTAATTATGTTCAATAATTTTTAAAATGACTAAAAAATTTAATATAAAACTTTTATAATGATTGAATAGTACAACCTTCTTGATATTTACTAAAATGGTAACGAATTTAAGGCCTAAAACCGATTACTATATTGGCGGACTAATACTACAGCTGGTGAATAGCCAAATGCAAGCAAAAACATGTTGGGAAAAATTCATAAAGAATTCGTTAACCGAAATTTTTTCGTTAACCGAAGTGAAGAATCTTATGGAAGGTAAATTGTTAACCGAGGCATTCGTTAACCGAGGGATCACTGTACTGATGTTGATAACAACCCGAGATGATTAACATCGGTATGGCAGGCACCCAACTCTTCAGAGCTAAGCAGTAACCATTTCTGTACTCTTACAAACATTACTGTTTATTAATCTCATACCAGCAACATTTATTTTTAAATCTACAAATACCTGATATAAATGAAGATTTACAGATATAGTAACTTTCTTTTCACATTTGCATCTGTTAACATTGCTGATGGCATTGTAGCCAAGTTAGACTCGTCACTGTAACCACCAGGCTACTGGGCCAAGCTGTGAGGTGTTATGGTTGTTTTTCAACTTGTATTTCTGGGTAGATATACTGTACATAACTTTTTTAATTTATTTTTACTCAATTACATGCACACACCATCCTACATACATATTGTGAAAAAAGGTAAAATAAATAATTGTCAAAGGATAAACACAGAGAGAGCAGGAGTGGGAGGAGGGCGCAGAGTATGGAAGGGGGAACGTTGCTACAGAGGTAGCGTCCTTACTGGTCTACGTTGCAATGGTGAAGCAGGGTGTTTATGCAAATGGCGATTGTGTTAAACTTTCATTTGGCTTTTATTTATGGTTTTGGCAATATAGTAAACCCAACGCTGGAGTTAGGTTCCTTGAAAACTGTGTGTTGGGCAAACTTAACTTTTTATGGGAAAAATGTACAAATGTGATAATAATAGAACTAACATATCATAAAAAAATAAAATGATATTAATGATAAGCATTATGAAATCATATTGCAATAAACCTTCGATAACTCCGCGCATATGAGGCTCTGGCCTTGCTGAGTTATCCCAAATTCTGACTTATGGAGGCACCCCCCCCCCTACAAAAATATAACAATAAAAAATTATCGACCCATATATTTGTACATGTAATTACTCAATGTAAAAAAGTACTGTAACACTTACCAGCACTGCAGGCAAAGAATGAAGCATCATAGTAGGAGACACAGAGGTATGGTAGGTGACACAAAGGCATGGTAGGTGACACAGAGACATGGTAGGTGACACAGAGACATGGTAGATGATGCAGGTGGCTAGATATGGCAAGATTTTCCTTAGATAATTTTATATATCCCGGCATTTCCCGAGTTATACTATAATACATTCCGAAACCATATCTATGCCGAGTTATGTGAAATTCTGAGTTCTCAAATGCCGAGTTATCGAGGCTAGATGATTGTAGCGTAACTATGATGACGATGATATTGTAGATGTTGTGAAGCCTTAAGATGATCATGATTGATGAAGAAAACTTCAAAAATTATGAAATTGGAATACAGGAATTGTTATTTCTTAAGCCAATGGATCTTCAGGATCATCGGCTCCAGATCGGCAAATGATGATGGTTGGGTTTCTCATGGGCAAGCTTTGCTACATGTGCTCCATCACATAGCTGATCTAAAATCTTTATTTTCTTGGTTAATATTATCACTTTTCTACTTTTCTTGGGTGTGCTACCACAACTAGCATCACCTCTACATTTGGGGGCTATACTGCAAGGGCAAACACACAAAGCAACGCACAAACACAAAAAGTTCCAAAACTGCTTTAGTTCAATGTTGATGGTACTAGCATGTAAGCGAGACTGGCAGGCATCTCCAATTGGCACAGGGCTGAGGCAGAGCAGAGGAGGGAGGCGGCACGTTGTTAACCCACTTATATTCAAATTTTTCGTTTTGGGCAAATTATTTGATCACATATATTTAAATGCATATAATCAAAATCGCATTGGACAAACCAACATTGGGCGAGGGTTCATTGTACAGAATTTTTGGGGGTAAATTATTTATAGGTATTGTTTTGATTTATTCCTCACTTTTACTGGTACTGTATATATTATTTTAAGAAAACTATGGCTACAAAAGGAAAATACACTCAAAAGTGTTTTCCTAATTACTCCCTGCTAAAATGGGGGGGCATCTTATATGGCCGTGCATTTTATATGCCGTTATCTCCCCCAGCTATAAGATCCTACACTTGCTCGGTTTTTTCTTAGCAAAGTGTGTAAAGTTGAATGCGCGTAAGTAAAAAGCGGGTAAGATGCGACACGA